GGTTGACCACACAGATGGCAAGGACTTTGTCAGCTTCTAATCCCTTATTTTTTTTATTTTTTACGCCTACAGCACCTGGTCTTCCTAGGTGGTCTCTCATCCAAGTACTAACCAGGCCCCACCCTGCTTAGCTTCCGAGATCAGATGGGATCGGGCTTGTTCAGGGTAGCATGGCCATAGACTCATTTTTGCCTTTGAACAACTCTACGTCATTGATGGGAACATTGACACTTAGGGAAATTTACAGAAAATTGAAGCCCAAAGTCACCAGTATTAAGTGCAATAGTCAGAGCCTATCACAAAGTGACTTGAAACCACATACCCTTTTACATCTTCTCGGTGCATTGGCACTTTTATAATTATTTAATGTTCCTTTCTGCCTCTGGTCATTTTCTTTCATCTGAAGTAGACTTTGTGTGTTATTACATTCTGTTTAATCATCCTTTGATTGGTATCTACTTTTATCGTTATATTAAAAATGAGTTTGTTGCAGACACCATATAATTGGGTCATTTTTAAAATCCACTCTGTCAGTCTCAGCCCTTTAATTGGTATATTTAGAACACGGACACTTAATGAAATTGCTGATACTTTGTTAGGACTTAAGTCTATAACAAAATGACATTTTGTTATTTCTTTGTTTATTTTCTTTGATTTTTGTTTCCTTCCTTTTCTTGCCTTCCTTTGGGTTACTGGAAAATTTTCTAGTGTTCCATTTTGCTTTATCTGTAGTGTTTCTGAGTATATCTTTTAGTAATTTTTTTCAGTGGTTAGTCTAGGAATTCTACAATACATCTGGAACTTAATCACAGTCTAATATCAGTATTTTGCCACTTCAAGTGAAACGTAGGACCCTTACATACCTTGTCCCTTCGTCCTTCTCATTTTATAATTTAATCATTTGCATGTCTTCTTTACATATATTGAGAACCACATTAGAAAAAGTTATAATTTTTCTTTTAACCATCTAACATAATTTTTAAAACTCAAGAAGTTTTTAAAATTTAAATCTAACATAATTTTAGCTACTCAAGAAGACGAGTAGTCGTAATTTTTTTACCCATCTATTTACCTGTTCTGTTGTGCTCTCTTTGTTCTGATGTCCGAGTTTCCTTCTGCTGTTAGTTCCTCTCTGTTAGAAGAACTTCTTCCAACAGTGTTTAAGTCAGGTCAATGAGTCATTCTTTGCATTGCATTCTTTGCAGGTCACTGGAAGGCCTGCCTTCTCTTTCATAGTCTTCCTGCCGTTGGTTTCATTTATCTTACCCAGGACTTTAGGTGTGTTAAGGGGGAGATGTGCTCACTCCACGGAGAACTCATTTTCCCCCTTCCTCTCTCTCAGGTAGAGTCTGGGGTCCAAGAGTCAGTGGGTCCTTAAGCGTTCACCTCTCTGACACCCAAAAGTACAAAGTGCATCAAGTTCGTGAATGCTCTGTGGGCAAGAACATGTGCTGTATCCGAGCAGATAAAATGCTGAGGCGGGAATGAGGTGGGGGACCTTTTTCCTTTGTTTTCTTTTCAAAATTCACATGGATGGATGAGAAATTGAAGTTGGGAAAATACTCACGTACCTATTACAACAGTAACTAACAATGATTTACAGGTGCTGAGCTAAGCTATTTACTATTTTAAATCTTACCATATTCTATGAAGTGACTATCATTACCTCCATTTAATAGACTTGGAAATTGAGGATCAGAGACAAATCTCAGAGCGACATGATAGAAGTAGAGCTGCAGTGAACTTAAACTTACCCTCAAAGATCAGCGTATTAGAAATAGATACGTGAAGTACCTGGCATACGTTTGATGTTCAAAAGGGGAGTTATAGTCATAATATGTTTTATAGTTTAACAATCACTTCCTGATTTTCTAGCAGCGAAGCGCAAGAGCAAAATTCTACACGTGTGCAGAACACAAAAAATTTTTCTAGCAGCAGTGGTTAAATATAGCCTTTCCAGCATTCAAAAACAGAGATATTTAGCGATAATAAAAATATTGCCAAATTAGCCTGAAGATCTTTTCTTTTTTATAAAAGGTTCACCTGCTAGAGTGGCTGTGGACTGATTCTCATCAGCTAAGTTAGAAGGTTGGTCTTTAAAATGTCTCAACCGATCTCAAAAAATTGCAGAGTTTGTTCGGTCGGGGCTTGACTTAATTCTGATTCCTGCTTTGTGTTATTTAGAGTAGCACAGGGCTTTGGTTCCAGCAGTGCCTTGTGGGAGAAAGAGCATTTTCCCAGAGCCAGCTGACCTGAGCTGACCACGGAAGCAGCATGGAACTGGGGTTCACGTGCTGCTGTCACAAAATTAGAGGTATTTTATGTTCTTGGTGGGCAGTAGCTCTGCCTGACCATATAAACTAAAATGTATCTACATGATGCTGCAGATCCATCCTGAGGTTGATCCTGAGAAATATTGCAGAAACTTAAATCACGCTTCATACTCATCAAATTTTATGAATCCCCTTTGAATTTTTGACATGAATCCTTCCAAATCGTTCTGCAGTTCTACGAAATGTCTGATTTGGTTAAGTCCTGATGCCTTTAGCAATGAAACCCAAAGGCTGTTTCTAGTTGTTAAATGCATGTTCTGTCTGAATTTCAATAACTGTCCTTTTAAGTCGAAGCTGTTTGTGTTCTGTCGTATCAGGAAGAAAGGGATTCAGACAATTCGAGTCTCTCAGAGACCTTTAACTCTCCAAAGGCCTTGATCTGTGTCAACAGCTGAGTAAACTTTTTAATGGGTCTTTAAAACCTACTCATCTGAATGCATTACAATAAAATAAGTTAAATGCCTGTATTCTGCTTCTACTTCCTCTGAATAGCTCATAAACTAGAAAACTGGATAACAAAGAAAACATACAATCCCGATCAGCTTTTCCCTCAAATTAAAGCAGTGAGCCTGGCATGCGAAGTTCACAGCACACACTCTGCTGGTGGATGGCGCAGAGTTGGCCACACTGTACTTCTCGTTGGCCTTGAACGAACTCGTGAAATATTTCCTTTTTTTCTTTGCATGTGCCCCATCGCCAGACAGCCCTTTTGCATTTCCATCTATGTTCTCACACTCCCTCTCAGCCACTGGTTAATTTGTGTATGGCAGCTACATAGGTACTGTCTTCTCGCCAGAAATGTCAAGCAGGTCAAACCGTGAGTTTAGGTGTGCTGCACTAGGCAAGGCCACTTTCATCAGCCCTTCATTTTATAAGAGAGGAGATTAGGCTATGAGAGATCTGGAGAGCTGTGGTTTGAAACATACAGCTGGTTCTTGGCAGAGCCAGGAAGTCCCACCCTGGTCTCTTCGAATGGACCGTGATTAACCTGGGCTGCAGGAGTCGAAAAAGCTTTGCAAAGGAGGTGGGAGATCTGATAAACCTAAGTGATGAGAAACTCAGAGGTAGGTAGAGTCTAAGGCCCCTACAGTCTCCGTAGTCAGAAGTCTACGGAAGGAAGGCCGTGAAAACGACGAGAAACGTAGCTGGGCCTGGAGAATCTTGTGCATACTGGTATTTTCCAATGTCAAGTATATTAAACACAAGCCGAGCAAATTGATGCAACTATTTTTTAATTAAAGGAAACTTTGAGTTAATACATGTTTAAAAACAATAAAAATAGAAATTCGCCTTGGCCCGCATAGGGGTTGGGAGAGTTGAAAATTATGGGAAAGAGCATACTGAAGAAAAGTAAAAAAATAACATAGGTATTGTTTTTCTGTACTATAATATCAGCACTCCTAGAGGATATTATAACAATGGAGTAAATTGAGCACAATACACTTTTCTTACTCAGACAGCAAATATAGCTTTCTTAAAAGGCATCTGTAAGGATGACTTCCCTTTCAGCGGGATATAAGAGATTGCCAAGAATTTCTAAATGGTTAAGTAGTTATCGTGTCGTGTAGTGGGTACAAGTGGAGTTGTAGGACATAGAAGCGTTAACTCAGGTGTAAATGTGCATTACTGTATCTGAGTCCCTCGGGTGTTTCTCACAGGAAACAATCTGGACAGTTACTGAACACATGTGATGTATTAGCACAGACTGTGTGAAGGGCAGTGGCAATCAAATAAACTTAATACCTGTGTAAATATAGGGTATTTATTGCTTTGTGGCTATAAATTATGGAGAAAGGTACATAGAGGTTCTCACTGTAAATGGTTTCTAATTATTCCTGATAGAGCGTTGTTTGAACACTACTTTTTAATCAATGAAATATGCAAGATTCTTATCCAAAAAAAAGTAAAAATTAAAAAAAGTAAAAAGCAGTGAAATTTTACCTCTTTATAGCTGGAGAATATTGCCTCCCCTTAAATACTCTATCGATAGGTATCAGAAGCTTTGTCCTTGGTTTAAGGTTAATTGGAAGATATTTTTATTGATGCTGATATGCTTCTTATAGTACCTTTACTAATTACAGTTCCTCCTCAGAGAGCTTATATTTTTTTAATTCACTATTAACTGTTGCAGCTGCTACAAAGCAGTGGTGTTTAGTGGGAAGTCGCTAGGGCTGGGAGCGGAAGGACTGTGTTACGATTCCTGTCTGTCAGCACCATTATGGGTGACTCACCTAAAAATTCTGGGATTGAAATTCTTTATTTAAAAAAAAAAAATTCTGGTCATAAAATTAAGGTGGTAAGTAGGATAGATCAATTTAAAACTCATTCCATTTTTGTGATTTTTCTGGTGTTATCAATACTAATACAGAATCAAATGTTGCTTAGTTTGGGTAGATCAATAAGCCATTATTATAAAGCAAATGCAAAGTGTGATGCTCTTGAATGAGTATCAAAAAAATCCATCTTATAGATACTTCAGCTTTAACTGCTATTGCATGTGCCTTTACAGGGTCCTGCTCATTTTTATTTGCACCAAAAACCTTTTTATAAAAAAGGACATTATCTTGCATGTAGGAGCTTGCTACAAGGAACGCAGCTTGCTGGCAGAGAATATTCTAAGCTGTAAAAACATCTGCAGGCCTTGAAAGAATCGGAGATAGCTAATAACAGTGACTATAATTAATAGATAATTGTTTTAAGAAAAGCAATTAACAAATTGAGCTGATACATAATCTACCCAATTAAGAAAACAAGAAACAAAAGAATTCAGAAAAAGAAGCCATGTATATTGTATTCACTGCAGTTTCTTATGGAGGTGGTTGGTTTTTTACATGTGTTCTTTTTTAAAACATACCTGTAGTCGATGGCGGTGATTTGGGCCCATAAGGCCAGATTTATTTTGCCTTTCTCTTCTGCCTTTTGTCACTAAAACTTGTACTTTGATTATTGTGTGTTCACACCGGATCTGGTAGTCCGTTCTGGACTCCACATTTTAATATTGACGTGAACAGATCGAGATGGGTGACTAGGGCAGTGGCGACCATGATTGGTGGGTTGTTAAAAGTAGCAATTTAGTCTGGAAAAGAAAAGAGAACACAAAGACATGCTAACTACCTTCTAGTATTTGAGAGGCTCTGTTTTAAAAGTCAGAGATGCATTTTATTGCACAGTTCCAGAAAGTTGACTTAGGAACAACAATGGAACAAATGGAGAAAACAAATTGCCGCTTTTACCCGCCCCCAAACAAACACCTAAATGCTTTTACAGCAATGACTTTCCCACATAGCAGTAAGTGACCAGAGCTGATTGTTGCTACCATTAAACCAATTTTAGATGTCGCCTTAGTCTGTTCAGGCTGCTGTAAAGAAAATACCATAAACTGGTTGCCCAATCGATGAACATTTATTTCTCACAGTTCTGGAAGCCAGGAAATCCAAGATCAAGGTGTTGATGGGGGCCTACGCTCTGGTTCATAGATGGCTGTCTCCTTGTGCCCCCAATTAATGCAAAAAGAACTAAGCAGCTCTCTGGTCTCTTCTCATAAGGGCACTAATCCCATCATGAGGCCTCCACCCTCATGACTTAATTACCTCCCAGAGGCCCCACTGCCAGACACCATCGCACTGGGATTAGGGTTTCAGCATATGAATTTGGGGAGGGGTGGACACACACATTCAGTCTGTAACAGATGGGACAGGAACCTCCTGTTCCCTTCACTCCTCACTGATGCCCAGAACTGAGTCCCAGTACCTGGGGTCGTTCGTCATCATGCCTGTATCTTCGTTTCGTTGCACGTGGCATCTCCACTTGTTGATGGTGTTTGTTAAGCCCCTATGGGCATTT